GTCGGTTGTTTACTAATCGTGCAACTCGATTTTCTCGAATGACATCTCTTCAGGTATATCAGTCTGGAAGATGCATAGTGTTCATGAAGTGAATTCACGATAGCTTTGCTATTTCTACAGAACGGCTTCCAGCCTACGTTCGTCACTCCCGCTTCGAGCCTGGCAACCTTCGCAAAATTGGTTCACAAAATCCACAATCTAAACGCTTGCAGTTTCATTCAGCTTTGCTAGTCTCATTTTTTCAAAGCAGGTTACATTCACAGTAATCGTTGTATTTTGTGTGTAGCATAATTTATTGCAAGTACTAATGCGAATACTACAAGAAGCGAGTGTTCGCTACACGGTGATAGTGTGGATCCTAATGGAGACTTGAGGGAAGTCCTGAGATCTGTGCATTTGCTCAAAAAAGGGAGTAAGTTCTTTTGCCTGTCTATCCGAACGAAATCTGAACTGCACAACGCAATACCCTAGATTTGTTGACCGAACGGACTGAACATTATTGCAAAGCACGCGGCGCGGGGTAAAACGTTTGTCCGTTTTTAAATTTGAAACTGTACAAGTCGAGCTTTCGCAACATTTTAACCCTAGCGCGTAGTACAACGTTTGTACGATCCGTGCCGTCAACAAAACGACGACACTCACTTAAAGGCTATTTTTCCTTGCTGTTTCCCGAGAAGACGCTTTGTTTAATAATCAGACATCAATATGCGTTTATTAATGATGGCAGATAGTAGAAAATGCATCGCGTTTTCAAAAATATTTGTGTTTGATTTAAGACTTCTAGTGTTCAGCGGTCTACCCACAGGAAAAGATGCCTTACTTATTTCTGTTCCAGCAAAAATATTATCCTTTTGTTTCAAGAAAAGTTCGAGTTCCCAGTGCCTTGAGTGACCCACTTTCACTTTGATGAGCTACTAAAAACAAGTAAGGTTACAGGGAATACTCTCTGATACACAGATATGTAATAGTTGAAAAGAAATTAGAAGAAAGCAATTTAAAGGCACCGTCCACCCAAAATCTCGAATTCAATGTTTTTGTCGCCTTCAAGCCTTCTGAAAGCCCTGATTCCGAATATGGAGTCTAAAATCCGCGAAACCCCCAAAAATCCCTGTTTCGAGAACCCTCTGCAACAAGCGCAGGCGAGATAAAGTATGCAAGTGGGCGGGGCGACCGGGGTCGCCCCGCCCACTTTGCTACTTCCGGAGCGAATTTCTCGCTCCGGAAGTAGCAAAGTGGGCGAGAAGAAGCAGTCTTTTGCGGGAAGCTTGGAGGTTTGTCTAGTATGGGGGCCCACACTAGTATGCCATCATAATCTCGCCAACCTCCATTTTGGGTTGACGGTGCCTTTAAGCTAAAAGTCAGGAAGAGAGTATCTGTCAGCACACACAGTAATACTCAAGATTCACATAGTTTAATAAATCTGTATGTACTTTCATCTAACATTTTATACTATTTTTCAGAATCCAAGCTCAAGCATAAAAAGTATCGTATCTTGCGCAAAGTCTAAAACTCAAGAAAAAAGTTTGGATTATTTATTTCGTAAGCCTATCGTGATGCAGTCTCTGCTTGAAATCTCAGTAAAAAGACTTCAAAGGAGAGTACAGTCATAAGCAACAATTCCAAGATAGTTCTTCTTCAGTTCCTCTCGACTCAAAGTATTCGAGACACCAACAGCGGAGAGGCTCATCTCTAACAGCTTGCTTCAAGATGGTAGTATATTTTGAACAGAGATTTTGCCTGATTAGGCCAGAAGCATGTGCGCCCGGAAGACTCAAGAACAAAATATCGGTGGACAGGATTATAAGTACTACATACATCAAACTCAGGGTGTATATCTCTACAAGGTTAGGAACAATAAGGACTTACAAGAAATGTGCATTCAGTTGAAGTGAATTTTCCAGATAAGCTCTAAATCTTATTGCGGTTAATCAGACCTTGATTTCAAATCTTTTCTCAATGTAAGTAGTTTTTGTGCAAAAAATGAGGGTATTTTCTAGATAAAATCAGGTTACTCTCCAACGCTATAGAGCAGTGATGAGTAGGAATATACTGACAGAAAGTGCCCATTGCATATTGTGATTTGATACCCATCGCTGACCCATTCAAACGGTTTTGGATGATTTTGGTCGATTTGCTTTCTCTACTCGGCATCCGAAGGCGTGCAGCAAGCATCGGAGGCAGGGCTGGAATCAGTGTCTTCTCTATAAAATGATACAGCTATCAATAAAGGTCGATTCAAAAACACTTTCCTCGTTAGTTGAGTTCGTATGAGTGAAGACAACTTTGAGTATTGATATTATGATGTCAGCTCATTCACAGGCTAAGGTAGACTTTACTGCTAGTCATTACCTCAATAAGAAAAATTAATAAAAGCCTCCATAAACTGCTGCTAAAAAAATTGTTGACTTTTTACGGAGCTAAAGAGGACTTTCATACTCGAATTTGCATAAAACGTGCGAGATTCCAAATCAGTTATGTCGAGGTATGCTGCAGATGAACTAACTCAAATACGTTTGCTATGAGAAACAGGAGCTCTTCATTGGTACTGATTGAATATTATTCATTTAAAGTAAGCCTATTTTTTTCTATCTTCAACACATCCTTGCTCCTCCTTTTATTTAGATTCTTCGAATTTTGCTCTAACATGTCTAAATGACAAAATTCTGACAGTGATTTGTCATTTTCTGCCTTTTGAGTTTAGAAGTTTGAAATCAAACAGAAATAATAATAAAAAGTTTCAATGTCTGCGGAATAATTTGGAAATTTTAACAGTTAGAACGATGGGCGTCTTCGTGATTCGTAAGCAAAATTTATAAGGTTTTATATCTGTAAGAACCTTATTTGCATAATCTCGGCGTAATATTAAAACATACATCCTCATCTTTTGAGCTTGCCCACCCTTTTAGCTCTTTTTTTACTATGTTTGGGAGGCAAACCAAGACCATCTTCTCGAATTGCTATTTCAGGCGACCATAATGAATATGCTAGCTACAGTCAAAATAAAAATGATTGACAGAAAATCATTGTTTGAATTTATATTTGTGATTAACTTATACTTGTTTCATCTTCACACTCATCCAACTTGAGTTGAGCAAGTGAGTATTAGGAGGTGTTAAAGGCAGATTTTTTCGAATAAAGTACGTGGCGCAAGCCACGCCTCTAAAAATTTTCCTTGGTATTTCAAAAGTTTCGTGGACCGTCATGTCTCCGAAAATTTTTTAGAAACAATTTTGATTGTTTATGAATGCAAACAAATCATTTGCACATATCTATAACTCAATCGAACGACAAGAAATTTGCGATATATTTTTGCGCCTCCTACCGCCCTCCCCTCGGTAATATGTAGTAATCGGCAATTGTTTGATATCAATTCTGTAGAGAGGAGTAGATAGGTTTTATATAAGCGACTCAGCCATTTTCCACGAAGGGAAATCACTGAGAAAGGTTGTTAGATTTTCCAGCTTTTCAGCTGATAATTTGCATTCAAATCAGGAACGTCAGTACTATTTCTTCATTGACTCTTTCACAACAAGGTGCTCAATGAGCTTTCAGAAAATAACCAAAATCTGCGACCCATGCTTTTTGAGATGGTCAAGTTTCACGATTTATTAAAACTTTCATATCAATCCTCAGAAGGGGTTCAAGTAACGATTCGATAGAGTAAACCTCATAGAATACAGTACTTCTTTTTTCTCTTTCTCGTAGCTCGCCGTAATTTTTTGAAAGATTTTTTAACAAAGCCATCGGATTTTGGCAGTCCCACCTCAGCCACAATCGCATCAAACATCAGTAGTTACTCGGAATTTCAAGCTTTCAAGATGATATATGACTTATTATTGAATTTATAAAGCAAGTGAGAATTTACGGATTCGAAATATCAAATTTCGAGTTTTCCGGGTACAGCCTGGGGGCTCCTTAAAAAAATGAGTGATGATTTTATCCCCAAAAACTAAACGAATCGGAAACAAAAAACACCCATTAGAAAGAGGAGAAAATGCCATCAAACAGCACCCGAGCTGCTCTTTCTTTGATGTTCTACAAGGATTTAGCTGTCCAAGTATGGAAATCGGTAGCATCAGTTAAAATTTTATTAAAAATGTATGACAAGCTAAGGAAAAGAGAAAAAAGTTGCAATGTATTCTATGAGGTTTACTCTATCGAATCGTTACTTGAACTCCTTCTGAGGATTGGTATGAAAGTTTTAAAAAATGTGAAACATGACCATTTCAAAAAGCATGGGTCGCAGACTTTGGTTATTTTCTGAAAGCTCATTGATTGTTTTGCAACAGTTTTATAACCATTAGAAAGAGAATGAAATTTTGCATCGAACGCTACCAAGACCTCTTAGAAAGGTTTGTTCCATCGACTGTGGCAACCGTTTGAAAAAAGCGAAAATACTTTCGGGACGACCTAATATAAGAAAAGAGCAAGGAAAGCAGCATCAATATACATTAACACAGAAGAATCATGTTTTAATTTCAAAGCTCTGAAAATGAGATCCAATTACACTTAGTTCTCAAAGCTTGCCTAACGCCATGCACTCAATCCCTCCCCCTCCCCTCCCGTGTCGAAAATCCTGGGAAGCTGATAGATACTGCATTATTTCAATGTCACTTTTCATACACCAAAGCAGTAAATATTTCGACGACTGTATGCTGCACTATTGAAAGTGATTTGCAATAGAATGCGTTTCGCAAGTTCAATTTTCCCTTTACACGGAAATTTTCACTCGCACTTAGCCAGAAAGGGTTCTACTCATTGTCAGTGGACCGAGGGATTCTGAATAAAAGACTGGTCATTTGGCCAGCGAAAAAGTAATTCAACATACTGTTGCCTAAAGCTTTGTGTGATGCATTGATTTCCATATATTTTTTTGGCTTGTCTTGTTTGAAGTGACCTGTGTCAACTCATCAGGGTGAAAACCAAACAAGTAAATTTTATTCTTTGTAAATATGCAGATTTACTTCAACTCATGATGATAAATAAAATTGCTATCATAACTATACCCTTAACTCATCATGATCAAATTCAAAATCACTATCATAACTATAATCACTTGTTTCCGAATAATCAGGATCTTCAGGGGGATTATCCGGATCCCATTCATAATAATCAAATAGATCATCTTCATCAAAATCATAATAATAATCTAAATGATGTCTTCCATGGTCTTGTCCACTGAGGTTTCCGAGGTACTGACTCATCTCCTCCAACCACAGCCTATAGCCCTCTGAGGTCCTAGGATCGTTCCTCGCTGAATAAGTCCAGCCAACGCGTCTGTCGATGGTATTCCATTTTTTGTGTGTACGAGGATTTTTAACAATAATCTCGTTGTTCTCCATACTGCCGGCGGGCTTGTCGACAGGTTTTCTTCCCTTGTAGTCTTCATCGTCGCCCGGAATCTTGTTTTGCTTTTCAGAATCTGCTTTATCGCCAAAAAGTAGATTGAATAAGTCCCATAATGATCTTGAGTGAACACTGCCAGTGAGGAAAATGATCTCAAAAGATAAGAGATAATGCGCAAAAATAAAGTTATAAACCTTTGCAGATTCTGAAAGAGGAAGCTGCGCACATATACAAATCAGAGTTTTTAGTATGAGCAATAACCCATGAACTGAAATAGACTGCTTTATGCTCATGAAGTTGCGCATGACTTTCTACTCTCACAATCCAAAAATTTCTTTCACAATAATGTGTGCATATAAGTTGGTCTTAATTGAAATGCAACTCACTGTAAGCAATGACGGCTTCATTCTCAGTTGACAAGAAGTTCAACTTAATCGCTTCTAATATTGAAATGAATGGAGGGCAAAAGCGCTGCGTTTTGTGTACAAACACGTTCGAACGGCAACACGTATGCAACTGAAGGGACCATTCTGAGTCTAATGTGCTAATTGTAAGTACATTCCATTGAAGGTAGTATCGAGCGCAATGTTAATGAATTTGTGCAACAACTAGAACCTGTGACTAAATCTAAACACATCCAGAAGTCATAGACTCACATACTTCACAGTTTACAAGACAATGTGTCGTTCACAAAACGCGGCACAGTTATTACTTAACGCTGCAGTATGGTTTGTTAATGCTTTTCTCGTAAATTGGACTACACCCATAAAGGATTGCTGAAAAATTGTATTTCTAGTTGGTTTCATCACTTTATTTATCACTGATTTCTGCCTTTTAAAATCCAATCCATCCTTCGATTACAGTCAACATTTTTATCCTTCTTGAGCAGCCCTCCAAAGGCTTACTAGGAAATACTGACATTTTGACCAGCAGCAGGGTATTGTCGCTGAGACCTCAGTCACAACAGCCTATCGCGTACTTGAAAAAGAAAGTGCCCTTGATTCAACGGGATTGGCGCCTGGAAGGCTACTGCTCGCACCCGCAACGTAGTCTGTTCTCTCTCGCGGCGTGCTTTCTGATCCTTCTCTAGCCTTTAGGTCTCGAAGCCCCGCCTTCCAGCCGCCGATGAATCAAAGGTTACGTTTTCAAGCTGGCAACTGAGAAAAGCAAGTGGACACTGCATTCTATGGTGCTTTAGAGGCTGATGATTACAGCCTTGTAGAGATAGCAAAACACTCAAAGAAATAAAAGGAGCAAACTTAACTAAACTTAGTAAGTGTATGAGTTTGTACTTTATATTTGAAAAGTTTTGCATTGAGCATGCAAAAATTGAGACGGTTCAAACTTTTCTTTACAAATTCTGTTACCTCCGTATGCTCGCTTTAGGCTGAACACAAAACATGTGCGCATTCTTGAGTTTGAGTGATTGATTAGTTTTGCTTGTTCATCTTTATAGCTTTCCGGATATCTGGATTAAGCACATGTTATCGTTGTAAATAGGAGAAAAATAAAAAAAAGATAGAATATGTTACAGTAACGGTCGGTTTTACACCAAAAACATTCCATGTTATAACTAAATGCAATACACTAGTGAGTCTCACAGTAACTTGCGCACGAGCTTAACACTCAAATTGGTAGTTTCCACTATTACTTCATGGCAGTTCTGATCAATTCAACAATGAGAGTTTCTGGGCTTTCAAAATTTGTACCAAGTACCATCAGCAACTCGAATTTGTATGGTGGAATGACAATATTGAAAGTACTGAGAAGTTGATCATCAATGAAGTTGCATGTATGTCGAGAGTCAAACTGATAACATTGTTAGGAAAGTAATTTCTACGTTCCTAGAGAGCCTCGCAATTAACACTCCAATCTCACCTCACATGATAATATTACACGCTTGATGATATCGTCAGCATATGCATTTTGAAGTAGCCCCACATCGTTCTATAGCCACATCATTGAACTATAAAGTGCTATACTTGGTAATTGATGATGATAAAGGAGATAAGATCAAGCCGACTTAGTATTAATCTTATATAAATGTGTGAATGTGTGTGTTGTGTGTGTGTGTTACGATGTTTGTAGAGCGTGTTCCAGCCAACCTCCTGGGCTGAAATTTTGCACAGCGCATGCTATCAGCATGTAAATCCATAATGCAAAAGCACAAGCAGGTTCGTTAATGAATCCTTCAGAAACGCGCGTCAAAGAAATACACTTTGCTTCTGGCCCGTAACATTGGGTTCTATTTCCACTTTTTGCAGAATCGTGGATGTGTTTGGGCAACTGAATGTGCAAACCACGGACAGAGGCCCAAAAAAGTAATAAAAGGTCACTACTCTACAAAAACTTGCCGTAAAGAATTGATTGCGTAAATTTGAAATTTGCCAAGGTTTTACCTGAACATTGAAAGATTTTTGCACAAAGATGTAGCTTACGGTGGTTATTGTTCTTGTGGGTCTACCAAAACAATGGAAAATTCAGAAACCTACAATTTACGTATGTTTCCCTGCAAAAAGTTTCATCTATGCAGACTCACTGATTTCACATGAAAAAGCTTTCAAAAAGTAGTTGCTTACAAATTATTCGTGATAGTGGGCATTGAGCGGTGAATGCCATAATTATGCGAGAATGTGTAGGGCACTTATTGTTAGATAGTAGAATGACGCACGGATGAGAAAAGAAAAAAGATCATCTTTCTTGGTTCAGGATCAGAAAATTAACACAATAAAAATTCGAACTCAAGATAATTGAATTAATTTATAAGATTTCTACAGTCTTTTCAAACTCAAAACTCGCTAACTTAGGAGGACGATGGTTTCTGAGTTTTATCGAGCGTGCATTATGATTTGCTCAAGCCGATAAAAAAGTGATACATTTTTGAACGAACGTAACAACAATGCAGTCACAAAATTTTGCTACTTCTACACCTAAGCTAAATGTATGTTCTCTAAGACTATTCTCCTAAATTTTGGAGCACACTGAACCAAGCAGAAGGATCATGTTTATAACAAACGCTTAGATGTCTACAGTCCAGTAGATGTCCTGCTTAATAAGTGTCTCTGCAGACGCGACAACCCTAGTGCGTCAACAAATGCCATTTCGAAGTTTCGAGCGCCGTTTTCTAGCGTTTTCCTTGCTTATTCTTTGCTTCGTTGCTGGTAAAAGAAAGGCAGGTATGTTGAAGAGTAGCTTCTGTTTTTTGAATAGTTATATCGTCGCTAATTCTTAGTTGTCTACGTTGAAGCCAAGTCGCGTCAGTTTCATGTGTATTCTTGCCACCTTTCTTTCCTTTATCAGCAAGGACTCACCTAAAAAGCAAAAAATAAGCAAAGAAAACACTGTAAAACTCTTGCTGAAACTCGTAATGGCAATTATTGACGCATAGGCGTTGTCGCGTCCGCAGGGACACTTAATTAAGCAGGAAATCTACTCGACTGTAATAAAGCTAATGTAAGAAGTTCCGTTAAATCTCGAAGCAGAGCGTTGTTATACGGAACAACCTCGTGCGCTCATTCTCCAGAAAATTGGAAGATATCATCAATCGAAAAGCACATCTGAAAATTTATTTTCACTGGTCTAGTTAGATCAGACAGCTGGCCTGCCAAATCAGAAACACTTTGTTCTGTTGGGCTCGTTCTTGACAAAGAAACATCCTCTTCCAATAGGAATTACGCTCATAAGGATGGCTTTGCAAGAAAAATATCAATGGACATCAAATAGACGAGTTACATCTGGGTGTTTTTTTTCAAAAAGAGGTAAAACGGAAAAAAGATTGAAGTGAGGGTGCACTCAAGTGAGTTTTACCTTTTTTCTCCTCAAATGGTGCGTGTGCCACCCTATTTAAAACAAGTAGACTTTTCCATTGAACAAAAATTTTGAACGTTTGCACAAATCTAATTTGGATTAAGATGTTGTATACAATGGAGCCTTTACAACAATCATCTTTTCTGCTAAGTTCCGGAACTAAAAAAGTGAGAGCTTGGAAACCAAGGCACATGCCACTCAAGGAATACAGTTTGCTGTCAAAAAAGGAGATTGCTGATTTACGCGGTGCTATGAAAACTTTGGCCCATAGTAAGGCTCGATCAGTTTAGGTAAACTGAACTTAACCCATGAGTTAAGCTTACATTATGTGAAATGATGACTGCCCACCGTTCCATGCTATATGACAAGTGAACTGACAGTTGGCCATCTGTCCACCTGCTGTCAACAGCTGCACATCAGTTCACGTTCAGTTGACCTGAACGTGTGATGTTAGAGTGGTGCAAATAGTGTGGAAAAGAGGAGACGCAGAAGACTCCCGTAGGTTGTTCTGAGCAACTTACTATACACATCATTCCCCAACACTGCGGACAAAATCGGCGCAAAACTGCACAATACTGGGGCCCGAAAATGAGAGTCGATGAACAGCTAATTTTGGCGTGGAAAAGAAGAAAACGGATTTTTTTCTGTAAAGCTGCTCAAGACAAGAATTTGTTGATTTAACTCATTAAGTTCATGTTGCAACCATCTCATTATTCATGAAAATTTCGTCAAAAATTTTTGTTTTATCCATGCATGTGCCAGGCGAAATCCCTGATAGCGGTCATCATCGATTTTGTCATAGGGGTCGCTTTTGACGCCAGGCGATACAGCGAAAGCGTGACGCTAGCCGGTGTTGAACCATGGCTACGCACTTTAGATTTCAGTCGCTTACCTTTGACAAACCGGCTCAAGTGGTTCTTTCTTCAAGAACACACATGATTACCATGATTAGAATCCGTCCAGTGAGCTATTGATCCGCATCCGGATCAATAGCTCACTGGACGCTGGACTGTGTAGCACACGTTCAATGTAGGCCCGCACCAGTCGAGTTGCACTAATGGGGGGTTTACTACGGGCTTTTGTTTCCCAATGTTTTGCGTTGTTTGTTATGTTCAGGATCAATTTCCACTTCGAGGAGTAAAAATTCAGACATAATCTATATATAAATAAAACTCAATCTCTGTAAATTTGTTAGTATGTAAGTATGTGGCTTATAGACTCCTTTGTTTGTGAACCGATGAGGCTGAAATTTGCTTCTCTATAAATGAGGCCAGGCGCAGAAGATAGGCTACTTTTTGCGACAATTCAGTGGGTCCTTCTATCGATTTATTGATTATTTGCAACCTAAGTAGAGAAATGAAGCGGCACTGTCATATCATTTTCATCGAATCATGTAGCAAGAGCAGTATGTTTCATTCTAAACCTCTGTCATCAAAGCAGGGTGAAAAGCGTTTGGAAATGTAGGTTCCACATTTCATGTCTTTTGCAAAATACATTGACTTTATGGTGCGAGTGGCTATAACGTATTAAAGGCAGCGTTCAGGCAAGTCTGGACACATGGGGATCTCACATGGATAGCAGTTTTGGGGCCCTAACTAAGCCTGCCCAACCGGCAGCTCAGATAGTGCTCTAACGGCCGAGATATTCTCCTCGGAACTGGACCCCGGATCGTACTTCGCATGGATTCATGGCGCAAAGCTGTGTCCTCGGGCGAAACTGCCATGGATCCATGCTAACAGTTTCTGGGGTCCACTTTGAAGGCGCATATCTCTGCCGTTAGTGATTTACCTGTGCGGTCGCTTGGGCAGTGCCTTAGTTAGGGCCCCAAAATTACTATCCACGTAAAATCCCCATAGGTCCAGATCTGCCTAGGCGCTGCCTTTGAGAGGACTGTTGTGATGTCAGTGTGAGCCAATCAATATTCGTCATACTTTTGTTCGTCAAAACAGCGTCCACAAAAGTGAAGGCTTTGAATTTTGTAGTGAATAGTCAAACGACTGTAAAAACAGTCAAACGACTATCTCATAAGACAGGGAGCGTTAATTCTATGTCATGCACAAAGTGGAGAAGAGGTTATAAAGCTATTTACTCTTTGAAACAAAGACAAGACAAGCGACAACTCACATTCGCTATAGTTGATCCCTGGGACCAGGAAGGTGCACGAGTGCAAAGTACTGCCGACTCCACAAAAATTGACGGCAAGCAGTGAATGAAGATGAAGTAGCCGGTTAGCGGCAAAGTGTCACAAAAAATGATCCTCATAATAACAATGAGCGCTGCTATCAATTAACTCGCGCTGCTTGCTTAGGTTTTGCATGTTGAACTTGATTTGGAGAAAGAGAGATATGCTACCGACTAATAAGTGTTCACATTTTGTTATTGTTCTTCACACAGTTTCTACAATGCCACCGAATACCTTATCTTCATTCCCAATCAGTGATCATTCCCGGGCTGGACCGGGCAGATCAGCTAGTCACAAATATTAACAACTCTTCGAACCTTTCTCTTTTGATTGTGAAGCTTACTGAATGCATGCGAAATGACTCGGAAAAGCATAAAAGACACCAAAGAAGTTCTAGTCTACATGCGGGCTAAAGTGCTTACTTCGAAGAGTGGAGGGCGTCGCAGACTTGTGCTTGAAGCTTTGGCTGATCTCAACACGGAGTGAATTCCTTGTTTCCAAAAATGCATCGACGACTTTTGAGAACAATGTAAATGTAAGCATAAGAGCGGCAGCTTCAACAATATCTTAACTAGACTTATGTCCATAAGATTTCTTAAATTATTTGATGTTTTAAATGTCCAGTTTTAACTCTACTGGATTTTAATTCTATAATATTGCCTAAAAGTTCATGGGCCTACCTTAGTGTGACAAGGTTTCGGTTGAAGATCAAGTCGACAAACAAAATCGTTGCACATGTGTTCAAGTGCATTATTCACAAGCGCCACAATCAACGCAACTTTCAAAATCGATGCCAGCACTTTTTACAAGCTGCAAAATACAGCTTGCAAGACAACGCTCTCTACATGTCTTATCATTTGTTCAGCTAGTTGTAAGCAGTGATGCTCCATGTAAATAAAATGAATGCTGCGATAACATCAAATTCTTTCAGACTTCAAACTCTCTTCAGATGGGTGAGCGCCACAAATTCAAAACACTGATTTGCATACGTAAGTATTGTTTCTATTACAGCTGCACAAGCCATTTTGCATAACAAATTTCACTCGCATTTATTTACTTATGCAATGCAAATAAGTAGCTATAAAGCTGCCTAGCTTGAACATCCCTTTGGGACATGTACTTTTCAAATTTCTAGCTATCTGTTATCTTCAGACATACATGCAAATAAACTTGATCTAATCAATCATGCATGAAATCCAAAATTTTCAAATATAAACTAGATTCATTTCAATTCATCATGACCCCAATATTCATCATCAAAATCTGGATCATCAAAACCACCATTATAATCTGGATCACCACCATCAAGATCATCTGGTTCACCATCATCCCAAAGAAGTTCTCCGTAATTATTATATTCTCCAAAACGCTGGTGCAACTGCGTGTAAGCAGGGCCGGCGCCATAACCGAGGCCGTGGTCTTGACTACTGAGATTTCTGATGTACTCGAGCGCTTTTTCCAAATACGTCTTGTGGCCTTGTTCAGTACTAAGATCGCCCTCTATTCGATGACTCCAGCCAACGCAATTGTCAGTGGGCTTTCGTTCCTTCTCCTGAGTGGTTGATGATAATATCATTGTCATCTTCATCGCCGACGGCTTTGCCGGCGAAGTTTTCTCGGTTGCTATTCGACTCATGGCAACTTTCGTCGTCGGGAATCGAATTCAAATTTTCTTCTTCTCTATCTACATTATTACGAAAAAACGCATTGAATACGCTCCAGATATTTCTTGAATAAACAGTGCCAGTGAGAAAAACGATCTGAAAAGGTGAAAGACTTGCACGAAAGTTGTAGTGAAAAACAAGGAAGCTTTGCACATATGCAGCTAAATTGACAGGCAGTAAGGCCCAGAATGGGATAGATTGCTCTAAACTTATGAACGCTTGTGCGTTGCTTCCCAGTTCTATGATTTGCAATCCAGATCTACGTAAGGTGTCGGGTTTTTTTGTGAAACAACTCGCCATCAACAGTGACGATTTCATTTTCAGTTGACAAGAAGCTCAGTGAATTTTGCTGTTCATTAAGTGAATGGTAGAAAGAAGCGCTACATTCACGTGTATACACTAGAGCAGCAGCAACGTACATAATCATTGAATAAGCCTTTCATGAGCTTAACATGCGAAGTACATTCCATTGGGAGCTGGTCAGAATCAAGCGCAATGTTAATAAGTATCGAGTAATAGAATGCTGTGATCAAATACAAGCACATTTAGGAGACCTGCTTCACATTCTTTGCAGTTGATAGGGTAAAGCGTTTTTCAAAATGTTGCACAGACACTACTTCGCGTAGCAGTATGGTTTGTTGATGCGCTCCTCGTATTTCAGTCTCTATCCTAAAAAGATTTTCTAGAACGGAACTTGTTTTCAACCTATTAGAGTGTCTCATAAGTTTCTATCTTTTTGCCTTAGACATCATCATTTTTTGAGAATTAGGGAATTTATAAAGGGTGAAGATACATGATCTTACTTCTGGATGTATCGGCTATGCACGTGCATGGCAGGCTGGACGTCTACGGGTTGGGCCAGACTTCGCGGGGAAGCGGCGTACGCGGCGTACGCAGCGTACGCTCGGTATATTTCATCATAGGAGCATACGCGGCGTACGCTGCGTACGTCGCGTACGCCGCAGAGTCTGGCCCAACCCTACGGGCACAGTTTGCCATTTTACTCCATTCACTTTTCTTTATTTCTAGGCATGAAATAAATACAGAAATTGTACAGAATGAAGTGTCAAGCATAACTTTTGACTGTAAAGCTTGTTTTCGAGTGCTATCATATTTCAGTCAAAACTTCAATGGAATACGACTTGAGCTCTTGATAGCCAACTTGGAGAGCTTGCTTTGCTCTGTCAAATGATTACTCAAGCCATATCGAGTGAAGGAGGGATGGAAGACGACGGTTGTAGCAAAAACGGTAAAAAGTAGTGAGACGCCCTAATATACAGGTGTCCCAAAAGTTGTGTATATTGTGTATGTATAAAGTTGTGACCGTGGAATTTGATCTACAGGCTTTTCTAGTTCTATTGCTTGGTGCAATTGGTAGACCCCTCGCTGCAGCAATCGATCGATTTTTCATCGGCACATGCCATTGCTGCCAATTCTTACCTAGAATGGCATTTTTGCTTCAACTCGCTTCACGCCGAAGCCTGGGCTGAAATTCTGCACCTATATGGAA